ATCTGAGAAGCATTTTAACAGAGACCTGGGGAAGTAAATCAATAAGTAGTTTAACATAAATCAAGGTGCAGTTAATTGTTTTCAATTAGAAATATATTACAAAGATTCTGCCATTTACAACAACATGAAATAACCTGGAGGACAGTATGCTGAGTGAAATAAGCCAGACATAGAAAGATGCATATGGCTGATCCCCCTTATATATGGAATCTAGAAAAATAGAATTCATGGATACAGAATAGAAGAGTGGTCACCAGGGTCTTGGGGTGGGGAACATGGGGAAATGTTAGAGGGTGACAACTTGCAGTTACAAGGTGAATAAGCTCTGGAGACCTCATGTACAGCATACTCTACTCATTAGTGTTCTCACTGCACTCCCTCCCCCCCACACACACAGGGTAGCTCTTTGAGGTGTGGATATGTTAATTAGCTTGATTGTGGTAATCATTTCACAGTGTGTACATATACCAAAACATCACTTTGAACACCTTATATTTGTACAATTTTTACCAATTATACTTCAATAAAGCTGGAAAAATCATACTTCAATAAAGCTGGAAAAATACATCATATTAGTATGAAGTCAAGGTAGTACATTAAAATCCAGTAATGTTAATTGGATTTGGAGGTAATATATATGTTACATATATAATGTTAATGCATTTTAATGTTATGTTATATATACACACACACATACACACACACACACACACAAACAAGATTGTAGCTCTTCGAAAAAGAGTAACATATTGTCTTAGTTCTAAGGCCAAACAAATGTGTTAGCATGTTTTAGTTCCTTAGATGTGGATTTGAGGAGTCAAAAAATCTCCAAGGTTAGGAAAACCTCAGTGCCAAAAAGTGTAGAATATGAAAGAATCACAAAAAAGCATGCACAAAATAGCCTGCTATGATGTTCAAAATATAAGAGCTAGCAGTTACTACCCAATATTTAGAATATAATGTAATGGAACATATTTGGAGCACATTTATCTTTTAATATTTCAAAGGCCAAAGTAAGATTTTCTTTATCATTAAATTAATTGTTAAGTTGAAAAGCACATATACTCATATTTTCATCATCTGATTTTAACCAGCAAAAAGCAATAGCTGTCAAACCGAAGTCAAGTGAATCTGTGAAAATAATTAATGAAACAATTCTAGTAAAAGCATCTTTATTGTTCATACACGATACAGGCAGGATTGTGGTTGTCTGTGTGAATGTGGTGGGATTGGTGGGGGATAGGAAGTTAGTTTATTCACATGATTCTCAACATAGATATACCTTGTAAATAATTGTGCAATCCCCTGCTTTGCAGACAGAATGTCTTTGAATCAATGTTTTATAAATACTGTATACAAAAAAATATAATTATGAACTTTTTAAAGTATGTATTCACACATTAATATTCAGAGCTAGAAGAGAAATTTCAGTAAGAAGAAATGCTTCGGAGATTAAAATGTAAAGGAGTTAACCAAATTTTACTAAACCTTCTGTCCATTATGACTAAGTTTTCTTGCATTCTAAAATAACAATATTTTGGAAATTTTGACCCCTCATCCGTATTTTTACATGAGAAGTTTTAAATGCCAAGAACTTGTTTCTCACTTTTGAAGCAGGGTGCTTTCTTTAGGAAGCAAACTGTATTACACGCATTCTGTTAGTTTGTATTTTATTGTATGCCATTCTATTATATTTTAAAATGCATTTCTGAGCCCATGTCACTGATTTCATGATTAGTTAATGAGTTGGAAGCAGCAGTTGGAATACGCTAGCTTAGGTAATGGCAGTATAAATCACATGTTGATAGAATGAAAGATGTCTTTCTACTCCCACCAACACAGTATAATGGCTACTTGATGCCAACATGGCAGTGTGTTACTTAAACCATGTATCAATCGACACTGAAGCAACATGACCAAAATGGTTTTACCGCTATTTATAGAATAAAGTCATGAGTTTCATGCAGCCAGGATTAATTGCATTGCTGTTATAGAGCTTAACATAGCGATATTCTGTTCGATGGAACAATGCTAACAATTGAGAAGCTGTAAATGTTAAAAACAATGATACTGTTTTGGAAAATTGATAAGTACTGTCTACATTTTACCTAGAAAAATATATGTTCAGGATTAACCAAGAAAATGACAAAAAACTGTGCAATGAGTAGAGTCTTGCCCTTGGAATTCCCTAAAATTGTTAGGAAGGTACAATGTTCTGCAGGAAATACTGGTAAGTGAAAAAACAAGGTTTAAAATAGTATGTAAGGTATGCTATCATCTGTGTAATAAAATGAGAAAAAACAAAGTTTAAAATAGTATGTAAGGTATGCTATCATCTGTGTAATAAAATGAGAAAAAACAAGGTTTAAAATAGTATGTAAGGTATGCTATCATCTGTGTAATAAAATGAGAAAAAACAAGGTTTAAAATAGTATGTAAGGTATGCTATCATCTGTGTAATAAAATGAGAAAAAACCTACATACATACACATACACAATTTTTTGGCAAGAAGTACCCTGAAAACATCAACCAGAAAGCTAAAAAAAAAAAAATTGCTGATGATACAGAACTTCTAGCCTATATATTTTTCACATAATCTTAACTTTGATAATTACATACATGTTTGACACTTTCAAAAGTAAAAAGAAAAAAGTACGTAATATATGCAGGATAAAGCAAATAACAGTTTATGTGAAGATTGTTAGAAGCCAAGATTTTAGTGGAAGTTATTAGTATGAAGTCCAGGTACTACATTAAAATCCAGTAATGTTGATTGGATTTGGAGGTAACAATATGAAAATTTTTTTCTAAAAATATACACAAGAATCTCTTGCTTAAGATCAGTAATCTATTCTCACAAATAGATATTTATTAGCACATTTTTGTTGTTCTAAATGGGAACAATTATAGTGAATGGAAGGTAAACCCAAAACATAGCTATTTCCCACAAAATAATGTATACCTAATAATGCCTGTAGAAAAGTGTCAAACTATCTTGATAAAATCCAAAATGTGTATTGTTTCCTAATCATCCAACAATTATTGCTGTTACTACATACAGTTGCTTTTGCATGTAGTTACATGGACTTTGTGTATGCTGTATGAGAAATTGTTACTTTATGGTATGTTATAGCAAATAACACATAGCAATCAGAAAGCTGAAAGTCCAAATTAAATAAAAGACCCATAATAGGTTTCTTCCACACTAAAGAAGACATGATTCTTAAAGAAAGTCAAGAAGGGGGAAAGAAAGAAGGGTCAAATCAGTCATTGCTATTTGCAGAAGGCAATGGGTGGATGAAGGACAACGGGGCAATCTTAGACAAACTGTTATATTAAGAGGAACGAAGACACCTTCTTTGTGTCTAGGAGGTGCTGTTGAGATTGCCAGACGGGAAAGCGCTGCTAAATCTTCAGAAATGGTGTTTCAGCTGAAGGAAGGCATGGTTGTAAAATGCAGATTTGCTTATTTTCCTGTTGAAAAATTTTTTCATGTGGTGCTGTAAGAGTTATCGGGCTATTATTGAAAGAAAGATTTATTGTCACACTGAGTGTGACTGCAAGACTTTCTTAGCAAGTGGCCTGTTTATTTACACTCAATGCACATGTTAAGATGGCTACATAGGATTTTACTATGTTCTATTAGTTTGAAATTTAACTCAGCATTCTTCCAGCACAGAAAATTGTTTACAATATTGTACTGAGCATGAAAGATGTAAGTAAATACTTCCATTTGATGTCTACACACCAACATTAGTTGAAAAATGAAGCAGTGAGAGGTTGATATATACTCTGTAAATTAAGATACTCAAAACCAAAAATCCTTCTACTGGGTAAACATTAACTCGTGAAACATTCTACAGGATGTACATGCATTTTTCTGGGTCTGCCCCCTGAAAAGATCTAGTAGTAATGTGATCCGATGGCAGTGAATGCTTCTGATCTCAAATGAGAGCCTCCAAAATGCCATTTTCCAACAAAGAGACTTAAGGCTGCTGAGTAAATGGCTGATTACAGATGTGGAAGAGAAAATGAGGAAACTGAGCTTATGACATATGTTCACCCTAGAGAGGGCTCATCTCACTTGGGCACCAACAGAGAGGGGTCTCAGGTAGCAACAGTGGGGCCATTGGACCATCAAAGGAGCAGTTGATGTACTTGCTTGAGGCCTTAGCTTTATAATTTTTACTAAAACAAGGAAGGAAGGAAGGAAGGAAGGAAGGAAGGAAGGAAGGAAGGAAGGAAGGAAGGAAGGAAGGAAGGAAGGAAGGAAGGAAGGGGAATAAAATGGAAAGGAGGAGAAGAGAAGGAAGAAAGGAGGGAGGGAGAGAAGGAAGGAGGTAAAGAGCTAGAACAACAAGATCAAAGCAAAATATCTTTGATAACTTTCTGGTGGAGTCCAGAGTGGAAATTTTGCATTACTGGAGACTACAGCGTGGGAATCTGTGCTTCGGAAATAAGTCAGTAAAGATACATTTGATACATTTACACGGATGTTTCCTCCAGCATTGCTCAAAAATCCAAAATTGGAAGTGATGTAGGTAATTACCTAAGAGATTGATTAAATAAATAATGGTACATCTTTTGTATGTAATATTACCTAGCCACTAAAAATAATGGAGTAGAACTCTATTCAATGACATGTAAAAATATATTGCATAATGGAAAAAAGAAATTTCAAAGTAAAATAAAAGGTTTGACCTTATTTATTTTACAAACTAAAACCCTACATGATTATACAAGTCAATGTGTTTGCCTTAAAAAGATAAAGGTATAGTGTCCTATATGATGATATCACAAACAGTGATCACTTCTGGGGTGGCAATTTGATAGCAGTTGTGGGTAGAGAGTTCGGGAGAAAATACTCACATTTTATTTCATAATTCTTATCTTTTTAAAGCTTTTTTATAAGCATGTATTGTGATACATATGTGAGCAGATATGGTTCCTTCTAAGTACCAGTTATACCATTGCTTAACCCTGTCTATTTCTTCCAAAGGTGTCAGGCAGCAAACAAGACTTGCCCCACCAATTACATGTGGAATAATCACATCTGCAGATGCCTGGCTCAGCAAGATTTTATGTTTTCCCCAAATGCTGGAGATGGTAAGAAGAATGATGTTTTAACGACTAAATGCCAAGGGTCTATATTGTGATTAACATATTCTAATATTAATGTACAATATTCATTCTTTCAAATAAGTGACTTAAAAATACTACATTTTCTACTTGACATTGGTATTACTTTGAACTCCTTTATAAAGGAATATACCCATGTTTGTGCACAACAATTTGATGGCAGACATACAAAGGAAGATGCTTCTAAAAGCTTTTAATTGTTTTACACCACACCTAGAACCAAGTAAGGTATAGTAAAGACGCTCTGACTGTGTTTGTCTAGACTCAGCAGATGGATTCCAGGACATCTGTGGACCAAACAAGGAGCTGGATGAAGAGACCTGCCAATGTGTCTGCAAAGGGGGGCTTCGGCCTGCCAGCTGCGGTCCCCACAAAGAACTAGACAGAAACTCATGCCAGTGTGTCTGTAAAAACAAACTCTTCCCCAGCCAATGTGGGGCCAACCGAGAATTTGATGAAAACACATGCCAGTGTATATGTAAAAGAACCTGCCCCAGAAATCAACCCCTAAATCCTGGAAAATGTGCCTGTGAATGTACAGAAAGTCCACAGAAATGCTTGTTAAAAGGAAAGAAGTTTCAACACCAAACATGCAGGTAAGAGATCCTCAGAAAGGGGATGAATTGCTCTTACTAGAAATATGTTCTAAACCAATGGCAGTTTTCTTAATTACAGTAACAATTGCTTGTTAGAATGAGCCCAGTAAGTTCTGCAAGACAAAATATTATTATTAATTTTTTAAGCAGTGCTAAACCTTCATGAGACTGGATTTGCTTCCAAAAAAGCAAGACAGGAGGCTTGAGGATCAAAACTAGATCCAAGCTCAGAATATACTCTAAATTAGTGGACCCTGGGGGATCTTCTCAAAAGACATACAGGCGATCCAAAAAGTGTGATGCTGCCTTCAGCCATAATTTAGGACAACTTTTCTAAATGCAGACAATTTTTATGTAAAACTTACAAAGGATAGGATAGTACCATTGACTGTAGATAGAATTCTGTCTGGAAATGAAAATATGTAAGTATTTGATAGAATTAAAGAAATATATGAATATGTTGTTAAAGGTACTCAAAACTCATTTCTTAAACTTGCTTTTGCTCTCTTCTTCACCAAGAAAAAAAAAATGAAGTCATTGGACTCAAACACATTTAGTGTTAATCCCTGAACCACTTCCTCTTTAATCCCAGAGAATAAGGTGATCCTACTGTGTAAGTCAGACCTGTGCATTTGACTCTCCACATTCCTTCAGAATTGCTTCATGACATTCCTTCATTCTTCTGTCATTTTAACATCTTCAGCTCTACTTTTTTCTCCCTCAGTTTACGAAAGTTTCCAAATTTCTTCTATTTTATTAGCCTCTTACTGTGAAGCTGAGCATACTTTAGCAACCCAGCTCTGTCTTCTTCAAAGCTGGTCAAAAATGAGGCATTGTTTTCATCTACCATTTATTCAACCACCTGTAACCTGGTTTATGCCCTAGAGCGCTATGTTCAACCTCTAAGGTTTCATCAGCCTCATAGTTGCCAAACCCAATAGAGAACTGTGTTCTTAAGTAACCTTAGGTAACCTGTCCTTTCTGTGGCCTTTTTCTTTAAGCTCACCTCTTCTATGACATGCCATTGTACTTTCTTAGTTGTCTACTTAATTTTCAGACCATTTGTTTTCAGTCACTTTCACGGGATTCTCTTTTTACATCCATTCTTTTACATATGGGTAGATGATATTCATTTTAACAGAAAAAGCTTGTATTTCATTTATTTACTAACTTCACTAATATTCATTATGGCTTTTTCCACAGTATATGAAGAGTCCATCTTTTTATTCTCAAGAGTTTTGTGGTCTTATTTTAATGTATATTTATGATAGTTTTCCTACACTAACATTTTAGTTACTGCATAAAAAGGCTTCAGTGAATCTAGCTATCTCATTGATTATATTTTTCTTCCCATGTGTTGTAAAGTACGTCATAGGAATTCTTTTATTTTGAGAAAGAACTTTTTGGAGTACGAGTGTGCCTAATATGTGGGAATAGGTGTACAGGGAAAAGTGCAAGATGATCTGAGGTGGAAATCAAAAGTGCAACAAGAAAACATACAAAATTTGGTTTTGACATTTCATTTATTTGACTCTAGAAATGAAAGCATGCCTTGTTAAGTTTTCTTAAAATTTGCAAATGCAGATTAATACTTATGACTACAGATATTCCTTTACTAAAAAGGGATACAATACTTAATGATCCAGAAAGGCCATTAATTAAGGCAATGGGCCAAAGAATATGTACTCTGCCCACTAGATTTTGTAATAAATATTAAGAGAGAATGAGGAGAATATATATTTTCCAAATATGATGTTTTCTCTTTTGCTCCAATTTATATCACAAAACCTGGAATTATACACTTAGAAAAGTGAACATAGGATAAGTTGCAGTAAACGGAAAGTCTTTATGAAAGAATGTATACTATTAGGAGAAATGCAATGAGAGAAATATTGTCTAAGTTCATCTAAGAGTTCCGTAGAAAAGACCGGTTGCCAATGCTCATGCCTGTAATCCCAGCACTTTGGGAGGCCGAGGCAGGCGGATCACAAGGTCGGGAGTTCAAGACCAGCCTGGCCAATATGGTGAAATCTGTCTCTACTAAAAATACACACACACACACACACACACACACACATACACATACACACACATACACACCCCTAGCTGGGCATGGTGGCATGTGCCTGTAGTCCCAGCTACTTGGGAGGCTGAGACAGGAGAATCACTGGAACCCAGGAGGCGGAGGTTGCAGTGAGCTAAGATGGTGCCACTGCATTCCAACCTGGGCAAAAGAGGGAGACTCCATCTCAAAAAAAAAAAAAAAAAAAGAATTCTGTAGAAAAATATGATGGCTGGTTAGTCTGTATGCAGACATAAGAATTTCAGATGCTAGACTCACTCAGAAGGATTCAATATAAAACGTAGTTTAATAAGGCTTAAAAAGATGTAGTATCTCTATCCTTCTGAAAACAGTAGTATACACATTCTGGAAATATCATTTTGGTTATTACAGTAGGAATTGAAATATAGTTCTTTCTCAAAAGGATTCCTGTGAGGTACTTTGCAACATATGGAAAGAAAAATATAATCAATGAGATAGCTAGATTCACTGAAGCCTTTTTATGCAGTAGCTAAAATGTTAGTGTAGGAAAACCATCAGAAATATACATTAAAATAAGAACACAAAACTCTTGAGAATAAAAAGATGGACTCTTTATATACTATGGAAAGAGCAATAATGAACATTAGTGAAGGTAGTAAATAAATGAAACACAAGCTTTTTCTGTTAAAAAGAGTATTATCGTTCCATACGTAAAGAGTGAATGTAAAAAGAGAATCCAGTGAAAGTAACTGAAAACAAATGTTCTGAAAATTAAGTAGACAACTAGGAAAGTACAAGGTCATATCACAGGAGAGGTGAGCTTAAAGAAAAAGGCCACAGAAAGGACAGGTTACCTAAGGACACAATTCTCTATTGGGTTTGGCAACTATGAGGTTGATGAAATCTTAAACAGAGATTTTATATTGAATCCTTCTTGAGTGAGCCTAGTATACATTTAAATTCTGAAATTCTTATGTCTGCATGCAGACTAACCAGCCATCATATTTTTCTACAGAATTCTCTCTCTCTTTTTTTTTGAGATGGAGTCTCCCTGTTTTGCCCAGGCTAGAATGCAGTGGCACCATCTCAGCTTACTGCAACCTCCGCCTCCTGGGTTCCAGTGACTCTCCTGCCTCAGCCTCCCAAGTAGCTGGGACTATAGGCACATGCCACCATGCCCAGCTAGGGATGTGTATGTGTGTGTGTGTGTGTGTGTGTGTGTGTGTGTGTGTGTATTTTTAGTAGAGACAGATTTCACCATATTGGCCAGGCTGGTCTTGAACTCCTGACCTTGTGATCCGCCTGCCTCGGCCTCCCAAAGTGCTGGGATTACAAGCATGAGCCATGGCAACCGGTCTTTTCTACGGAACTCTTAGATGAACTTCGAAAATATTTCTCTCATTGCATTTCTCCTAATAGTATACATTCTTTCATAAAGACTTTCCGTTTACTGCAACTTATCCTATGTTCACTTTTCTAAGTGTATAATTCCAGGTTTTGTGATATAAATTGGAGCAAAAGAGAAAATATCATATTTGGAAAATATATATTCTCCTCATTCTCTCTTAATATTTGTTACAAAATCTAGTGGGCAGAGTACATATTCTTTGGTCCATTGCCTTAATTAACAGCCTTTCTGGGTCATTAAGTATCATATCCCTTTTTAGTAAAGGAATATCTGTAGTCATAAGTATGAATTTTCAGTTGCAAATTTTAAGAAAAATTAACTAGACATGCTTTCATTTCTAGAGTCAAATAAATGAAATGTCAAAACCAAATTTTGTATGTTTTCTTGTTGCACTTTTGATTTCCACCTCAGGTCATCTTGCACTTTTCCCTGTACACCTATTCCCACGTTAGGCATGCTCGTACTCTAAAAAGTTTTTGAAACATAGCTCCAATTCTCACTAGGTGTGGTAGCTCACACCTGAAATCCTAGCATTTTGGGAGGCCAAGACAGGCAGATCACTGGAGGCCAGGAGTTCAAGACCAGCCTGACCAACATGGCAAAACCCTGTCTCTATGGAAAATACAAATCTTAGCCAGCATATTTGTAGTCCTAGCGACTTGAGAGTCTGACACACGAGAATGGCTTGGGTTCAGGAGGCGGAGGTTGCAGTGAGCTGATATTGTGCCACTGCAATCCAGCCTGGGTGACAGAACAAGACTGTGTCTCAAAAAAATGAGGCTCCAATTCACTGGAGCAACAGGGCAGGGTACAGATTGACTAATTGGTAATTTGTCCTCTCAATGCTACTAGAAACTGCAAGTCTAGGATGGGAGAAGGGGGACCCTCGCTGCTGAGTTTTGTCCCTCTCACCCACTTGCCCCAGAATGCCTCTGTTTCACCTGGAGCTCAGGTAGAAAGGAAGAGTTAGCCACCATTGTGCAGCCAGCTGCCAAGTGGAGACACAAGAGTGAGGGTGAGGCTGCCCACTGAGGACCACAGTTCTGCCAACATGGCTGGGTTTAATTCCCTGGAAGTCTGGGTCCCATACAAGCCCCTGATTCATGTGAATTCTGCCATGCTTATGTGATCACAGCAAGTCAGCAGACCTTCAATATTCACTTTCAAAATTTCTGTTTTATGTTTCTTTCATCCATGAAGCAAAGAGCACTTCAAAGGAACTAATGCTTACAATACCTCATCCTTCCGTTTGTTCAATCAGCAAGCAAGACTTTTATTTTAAGGCTTTCCATTCCTCTTAAATGTTGTAATTCTAAGCAGAAACAAACTTTTATGAGCCTACGAACAATTTCATCCTAAAATTAGTAATCTTCTAGTCTAAAATTTAGAAAAGCACAGAAATTCCTTGGTAGCATAATGAATCCATTGCCTCGATCTTTAACGTAAGTGTGTTCTTGTTTGTTCTCCTAGCTGTTACAGACGGCCATGTACAAACCGCCAGAAGCCTTGTGAGCCAGGATTTTCATTTAGTGAGGAAGTGTGCCGTTGTGTCCCTTCATATTGGAAAAGACCACATATGAACTAAGTAAGACTGTACTGTTTTCCAGTTCATCGATTTTCTGTTACGGAAAACTGTGTTGCCACAGTAGAACTGTCTATGCAGAGAGAGACCTTTGTGGGTCCATGCTAACAAAGACAGAAGTCCGTGTCTCCTGAACCATGTGGATAACCTTACAGAAATGGACTGGAGCTCATCTGCAAAAGGCCTCTTGTAAAGACTGGTTTTCTGTCAAGACCAAACAGCCAAGATTTTTCTCTTGTGATTTTTTTTTTAAAGAATACTATATAATTTATTTCCACTAAAAGTATTGTTTCAGCATTCATTTTTATAGCAACAATAATTGGTAAAACTCACTGTGATCAATATTTTTATATCATGCAAAATATGTTTAAAATAAAATGAAAATTGTATTATAAGCTGGTAAGTTCAGTCCATCATCATCTTACATGATAAGCAAAAACTACTATCATGAAGACACTGATCTTCCTCTGTTCTTTTTTCTTCTCTAACCAGATGTCAGATATGTATTACTGTGACAAAAAGTATGATCCTGTAAAAGAAAGTGTCGGAGGACAGCAGAATGCTATTGCTTCATCTCTTAATATGTTTAATGATTATAAACATTTTAGCACATGATACTTTTGAATTTATAACCAAGTCAAATCTATATGTAACATCTTGTAAGATAGGCTGCTTAGCATTGTGATTAAAAGGCATTCAGTGCTCTGAGAACATTCAGAATCTTACCTTGGTAGAAAAGCCTACAGTATATATTAAAATGGCTTTAAAATATTTTCTCAAAAATAATCTCTTCCAAATATTTGACTGCTTCTAACCAGCTAAATTACTTTTTGTGAGCATAAGTCCTCCTATCCAATACATTTAAAATAAAGTAAAAATAATATCTAAATGCTCATGCATGTTTAAAAGGAAACATGTCAGCCACACATCAGAAGTGCTAGTTCCATTTTCAAAAAAAATTACACTAAAATACCTTTATCTTTTTTTTTTCTTGAGACAGAATCTGATCTTGACTCACTGCAACCTCTGCTTCCTGGGTTCAAATTATTCTCCTGCCTTAGCCTCCCGAGTAGTTAGGATTACAGGCATGTGCTACCACGCCTGGATAATTTTTGTATTTTTAGTAGAAATGGGGTTTCTCCATGTCAGCCAGTCTCATCACGAACTCCTGACCTCAAGTTATCTGCAGACTCTGGCCTCCCAAACTGCTGGGATTACAGGCATGAGCCACTGTGCCCGGCCTAAAATACCTTTTTCTAAAACAAAGATTTTGCATGCATAAATACAACCAAATAAGTGGTTTGTTTGTTGACAGATAATTAATTATATACTAGTATGTCATAGCTACTGTATAAAAATAATTTGTCCTGAAAAGAGAAAATATTCCTCATAAGCATGTAGTTATAACTCTAAGAGGTAGCAAATGTATTTAATTTAAAACATTTTTAACTGGTCTAGGTGCCAAATCATTATGATACAAAATATTATTATCAATATGTTTTGCCACAAAATTATGTTTTCTTTCAAACTGTTTAATTAGGAAGTCAATGTCCTGAAAATGTCCTGAGTGTTTTCAATACTAACTTTTAAGAATGGTTTTTACATGCAACAGTTACCAAATTCCCACTGTGTACTCTAGTTCATGAAGTAAAGTTTTTCATGTCCTGGAAAAGAAAAGGAAAGAAGTCTTCCAGAACACTCTCATTTACAATTATAGTTTATTTACCTACTTTTTAGTAACAATGGCTCTGAAGCCTGTAGGCACTCAACATATACATTGGGCATTCTACACACTAAGGTCTAGAAAGTTTTCAAATATAAGAACAGAAAAAAAAAATTTAAGTAAATTTGACAACAGGTGATTACAAAATGAAAATTGGAATCAAAATACCCTTTTTAAAGGGTATTTTGTAAGATATTATCTTATAGGGAATCACAATCCATAGTGTATAAAATGCTCATCATCTTTGAAATTCAGCTATGATTCAATCATTTTTTATCTTATTTGAACCAAAGGGACTACAAATAAACATTATGTCATCTGTTACTGTTGATCTGGTCAATCACTTTTAGACTTGATACATTTAAAATATATTAGCTAAATTAGAAATAAAATGTAGTCTAAGTTTCAGTAAACACCCTGAGGCCATGTAAAGAATAGTAGAACCTGATTCAATGACTGTTACATGTTATCAGGTTGAAAAACAAACTAAACCCTGGGCTAAACATTAGTTTTCTTGGGGAAACCAAAAAAATGAAAACACTAAATCAAAAAGTAAAGCCTAAAGTATGCCAGAAAAACTATTTAATCCTGTCCCTGGAGATGTAATAATTTTGAACAAAAGTAAGAGTGTCATGAACAAAAATAACGCATTGCCAAAGATACTTGGATGTTTATGTGAACCATCAAAATCGTTCTTCAGCATATTATCATGAATGCGATGTGGTACAGCCGTGAAGAAGATGGACTAAGCATGAAGCTAAACAATTAGAAGATTGACAAATGTGATGCAGCCAAAAAGCTAAAAAATATGGTGAGAATGTTCATAAGCTTTGCAGAATAGTCCCGAGATAGCAATTCAGTCAACCTAAGTGATAAAGTTAGAAAAACTCTGGAAGCTCACAGCAGTTATTATCTCTGAGCAGTTAATATATCCAAATCTTAGAAAGTTTATAAACAGAATTTTATGTCCAGAAACCTAATAGTGTATACTCAGTTTAAAAGACTCAGGAAAAAATGTTTTGGTGAGCAGTTGTGTAAGATTTAGAGTACAGACTTTTTTGGGGAAAGCTTTTGACATTTACTAATTGCTTGATTAAAACAGATTCCATTATTAGAATTTCTAAAAATAACCTTTGTTTTTTATGTTCACACCTCTCAGAACAGAAGTTTGAGTGGCAAATGTAAGGCTGAATTCACTGCGGTACCTAGAATGCACTTTAAGGAAAAGAGAAAAGGTCATGACCTTATCTCTATTCTCCAGGCTTTCTCAAGGGATACTCCACTTATGAAGGAATTTCACTCAATGGATAAGAGAGAAGAAGCAGACACAACAGGAGAGAGAGTCCATATTACAGCAATTGTTTCAGCATACTGGCAAAGCTTACAAAAATCCTTACTTACATGCTGAAATTCCCATGTTCATCTATATAGGAAGTACTGGGGCTAAGAGTATACACAGTTTTCTTGGCCCACACTCTTCTACATTGCTATGCTGTCCCCAAAATCTGACCTTTCATTAGCAGGTTTTTCAGAGGATATTTTTTAGAGATTTTCCTTTTTAAATTAAAAATGAGAATAACGTAAAAGTAGTATTTCACTCTGCTACGGAAGAGCATGAATGTATCTGATATTTTTCTAGACGAGTTCCAGAAAGTCTTGAGAAAATCCATTATTGTTTCCCAAAAGTGCATATTGTATATCAAAACAACCATTTAAGGAAGTCAGTGACACATATCATGTCATAAAGTACTTACGAAAGAATTACTAATTCAATATTCATGGGTTTGAACTGTTGGTGTATATGGATATGTGTAAAGTGAGAAATAACTATCTGCTAACTTATGGAAGTGTGAGCCCATTTCATATGGTTTTTCCATTCCATAACTGACAAATTCTTGTCTAAAGAAGCATCCTCTAGTAGAAGGAGCTCTGGATTGGGAATCCTAAACTCAGTTTTTAATCCTTTCTTTTCTGTGACCCTGGGCAAATCACCACCTCCTGAGTCTCAGCATGTTCGTCTGTGAAGGAAAGAGTTGGATTAAAATTGTGTATGAAATCCTGGCTCTGAAGTTACAACGTTTGTTCTAAACTACACACTAGGAGAAATCAAAACCATAACATTTTAAGAACTACAGGGACACAGCATTCTTGAGATTACTGACCCCATTAAGAGGAAATATTTATCTTTTAAAAATGTTGCATGTAAGAAATTATCAATGAAAAATCTATTAGTCTTCTGTAATTCTAATTCACTTCTTAAATCCTAATACATTTCCATAGCTCAAAGCACCATTTTTGCTGATTTCTTCACATTAAAGGTGATCACTCATAAAGACTTTGAAAAAATTTCCAAACATCTTGAAAAAAATTAAACCATGCAACATTCATAAGGAAGCAAATATTAAGACTTCTTGTGCAATCCTTCAAAACCTCAATCAGATACACATATACTGCATTCAGTCCAGGCAAGGCCTTTAAAGCAAAAATTGATTTCTAATGTCACCATCTGGCATTCTGATGATAGGATTTGATTAGGGATTGGACCTTTGTCTCTCTGGGATTTGATATCTAATAATTGCAGGTACAGAGGTCAAAATGCTGGATGTTGTCCATAGACTCACCCATCAGGACTGATTATATATCATACTTCATGAAATACTATGATGACTGCCCACACTAACAGTGAAAACTGTTTTGATTGGATAGAATTGACAGTGAAACACTATTAAAAACTTCTTTAAAATTCACTAAGTAATGAATGCCAAGCTAAGAAAGAATTGAAATTGTCTCAAACAAAAATACTTAATTTTATAAAGAAAATGTATAAATATTTTTAAAAGGAGAAAAAAGTTTCCAAAAATATTCAACACCATAGGACTTTATAACAATATTTTTAATGTGCTGTTAAAGTCATGGAATTGTTTTTATCTTTTGCAGGCACTTGTGGATCCTCTTAGCCTTTTTGAAAATTCATTTTCTTATATTCATATATATATATATATATATGGTTAGTATAACTCGGTCCAGTAATTTTTTTTAAGACAAAGTCTCACTCTATCACCCAGGCTAGAGTGCAGTGGTGTGATCTCAGCTTACTGCAACCTCCACTTCCAGGGTTCAAGTGATTCTCCTACCTCAGTCTCCCAAGTAGCTGGAATTACAGGCACCTGTCACCATGCCAGGCTACTTTTTGTATTTTTAGTAGAGATGAGGTTTCACAGGGTTAGCCAGGCTGGTCTCAAGTGATCCTGACCTCAAGTGATTTGCCTGCCTCAGCTTCTCAAAGTGCTCGGAGGGATTACAGACAGGCATGAGCCCCCATGCCTGGCCTGTTAATTTTCTTTATTGGAAATATTATTACACCTATGAAAAATGCAACTCTGTTCATTCAATTTGAAAAGGACCACTTTTCTTTGGTATTGAACTTATAGACTAACACCCATTTTAAGACAGCACTTTTTAATTGTGATGATACCTTTGAAGCTCCTTCTCCTCATAGAACACATAGTAAGTAAAGGGCCACAGACAAGCACTTGGAATTGCTAATAAAAGGAAGAGAAAAAGGAAGGACAGAAGGAAATGAAGAAAAGGAGAAAGCAGGAAAGAAAAGCATGGAACAAATGAGAAAGGGTGAGGAAGGAAAACAAAAGAGAAAAAGCAGGAACGCTAGCA